TACTTTGTAGTCTAAGTCCAGCTTTTGTAGTCTAAGTCTGACTTTTGTAGTCTTTTGTAATGTATAAGTAAACTTTGTAGTCTAAGTTCGACTTTTGTAGTCGTTTGTAGTCTATCAGTAAACTTTGTAGCTTAAGTCCGACTTTTTTGTAGTCTATCAGCAAACTTGGTAGTCTATATCTGACTCTTATAGTACTTCCTTTTTTGGTCATTTTCCCCACGATACAATAATTGTAGCCCTTTCTTTTAGCTTTCTAAATATACTGAAATCATGTTATTTGGTTTTGTTTTCATCGAGAAAAACACAAAAAACAAAAAAAAAAAAACACAACACTTTTGAAATTCTTTTACCTCATATCTCCACAACAGGAGCACTTCAGAACATAATTCAAACAGAGTTGGGAAGCTACAGTATAGGGCTACAACTTTCGCTTTTTGACCATTTTTGTTAATTGGTCATGTGACCATCATCCCAACATCCTCTTACATGGACCCTGATAGGTAAAGTCATTCTCCTCTTGGTTTTCTTCACTTTTTAGTCAAACCAGGTGATATTCCCCTTTTGGGATGGACCCTGAAGTGGACCCTGAAGGCAGTGCCTGATGTTCTGTATTCAAAGCATTCATGCCCTGGGTATCCATTGAAAAATCACAACGAAATACCCATGGCTACATTTGAAAAATCACAATGAAATGCACAGGGCCACATTTGGAAAATCACAATGAAATACCCAGAGCTACATTTGAAAAATTGCATGAAATGCACAAGGCAGTGCCTGATGTTCTGTATTCAAAGCATTCATGCCCTGGGTATCCATTGAAAAATCACAATGAAATGCACAGGGCCACATTTGGAAAATCACAATGAAATACCCAGGGCTACATTTGAAAAATCGCAATGAAATGCCCAGGGCTACATTTGAAAAATCACAATGATATTGCTCATGTAGCTAATGAAAGTTGCAATGATATCACCCAGGCACCTAATGAAAATTGCAATGATATCGGCCAGATAAATAATGAAAATCACAATGATATTGACCAAGTAGCTAATGAAATTTCCAATGATATCACCCAGGTTTCTAATGAAAATTGCAATGATATCGGCCAGCTAAATAATGAAAACTGCAATGATATTGGCCAGTAAATAATGAAAATCGCAATGATATTGACCAGGTAGCTAATGAAATTTCCAATGATATCGCCCAGGTTTCTAATGAAATTTCCAATGATATCGCCCAGGTTTCTAATGAAAATTGCAATGATATCGGCCAGCTAAATAATGAAAACTGCAATGATATTGACCAAGTAGCTAATGAAATTTCCAATGATATCACCCAGGTTTCTAATGAACATTGCAATGATATCACCCAGGTATCTAATGAAAATCGCAAATGATATTGACCAAGTAGCTAATGAAATTTCCAATGATATCGCCCAGATTTCTAATGAAAATCACAATGATATTGGCCAGATACATAATGAAAAGCACAATGATATCAGTCAGATAACTAATGAAAATCGCATAATGAATAGACATGGTAACTGGAATGATTCCTATCATAAAGACTGTGGACTTATACACAGGGAGCCCTAGGCAGTTACCTTATTTATATGATAAACGTGGTACCCACCAGTCATGATGGGAACTACCTAAACGGCTGTCTACTCCCGCAGCGTTGCGCCAACTCGGCTGAAGAACCTTCCACCATGTCCACCAGCTCCTTTCGAAAGATGCGACATCCTGGATACGGGGTGCCTTTCTACGGCCACGGCCGACCCACCAATCCACCTGTGAGGGCCGACTTGTTTTCTTAAATCCCATATGGATGCCTCCGACGTCGAAGCTGCTGCAAGCCTCCAACTCCACATACAGCTTGATGGTTTTTGTGAATGCCAGGCCAAGATCTTGTGCCGATAGAAGCTCATAGCCTCTCAGAAACCACTCCGGCCACTTTGGATCTGGAAGCAATGGTGTGGGAGTTGAGGTGACAATTGGCTGCGACGCTAGGGCAAGAGATGGTTCAGTAGAAACGGGGGGGGGGGAATGGGTGGTTGGGCGAGGGAGGGAGATGGCTGACGCGGAACGAGAGGAGCAGAGGGCTGAGTAGGGGCAGAGGGAACGAGTGGTTGGGACACAAGGGAGGGAGATGGCTGACGTGGAACAAGAGAATTAGAAGGACCGATGACTGCAGGATCAATTGGAAGGTCTTCTGTGTCTGGGTGTGCGGGATCCATCGTCGTCTTCCTGGTGCTACGTCTCGCACCCAGAGCCTGAATGGGGTGTTCATCTGCACTGTCCTCATCTTCACCATTGCTGGATGATTCAGACGAGCTAGCCTCTTCAAAGTCCTCCACGCTCTCTGAGTCCAATTCTTCTTCCTCAGACTCATCGTGTCGCTTCTTCTTCCCCTTGGATACCGCTCCCTTCTTGGCTGCCACTCCCTTCTTGGCTGCCGCTCCCTTCTTGGCTGCTGCCCCCTTCTTGGATGTTACCCTCTTCTTGGCCACTGGCCCCTTGCAATGTTCCTTTCCTCACTTCCGTTTTGCCGTTGCTTTTGTGGCATCAAAGGGATCTGTTGCTGAGTGAGTTGATGTGTCAAGAGTGGGATCGTTCTCCTCGGGACTGATATGCGGGGAGTTAAGGGTGGTCATATCGACATCATTGTTGGTTGGTTGGTTATCTGAATTGGGGGCATCAGGGAGAGTGCGCCGTCTTCGTTCTTCAGGTGCTGCCAACGTAGGTAAATATTATATATGACAACCATCTTAAGAACAACCTACAGTAGCATGTGCTCAGAAACTCAATATACGCATCCTTTACCAATGCAAACTTGGCTTTATCGGCGTAAGGCCAAACCTGCGGTGAGGGTGCCTTGTTGACGCTGTGATGAACACTGTGGAGAGGTAAGTATTACTCACAACGAAGCAACATCAAATGTTTACCTTATCACATTGATGTTCCCCCCCAACCTTGGCTCTGGGCCACCCACAAACACCGAAACATGCATGTTGAGTGCTTGTCCAATCCTTTCCAGCAACGGTCCCAAAAGATTTGTGAGACCATCGAATGCTCTGATGAAACACATCAGCAATCGTAAGAGCAGAGATTTGTTTTGACATACTCTTTGTGCCTCAGCAGGGCTCATCTCTTTATCGCCTTCCCAGGCCTTCTTCGCCGTGTTGTGGGCCTCGATGGCATCATCGGCCCACTGCTTCTGTTCTTCTTCACTCAGTTTGTGAAATTCCTTCTTCTTGAATGAGTTCCGAAAAGTCGCGCAGTGTTTTTCAGGTTTGCCGCTCTCTCTAAACGGCTCTTTGAAGGGTTCCCTGAGGGACTCGTAGTTGGCCGTGCCCCACATTTCCCAGCCAGTGCGGAGCTTGGCTGGGCCTGCATAACCCAGGAGGTGGTTGACTAAAATAGACAAGGGGTCTTTGGTACTCTTCGACCACTTCAAGGTCTTCATCTTTTTAGAGCGATGGTCGAACCAATTGTACAATGACTTTGAAACAGATTAGCAATGAGAAACGAGCATCTCGAGGTACGTAAGGGTGAATAACCTTTCTCATACGCTCGATCACCTTCCCTTTCAAGGTTGCTTGCTTCTTGGTCAATATCTCGAAACCGTCGGTGCCGGTAGGGAAAGGCAGTGATGTCGGCAACTCTTCCTGGGTGACTGGGATTGACCAGTGATACATCGAAAACCATAGATTAACGATGCCGTCGAGGAAGGAGGTGGCCTTTTCGTGAGAGACGAGTAGCACAGTCTTGTATTCTTCAAGATGGGATTTCAAGAATTTTTGGCGGGAACGTTTCACGCACCCTTTTTTCAGCGGGGTGAGAAGTGCGGCCCTGGATCAATGTGTCAAACTTTGAAATAAAACAAGAACAAGCTCAGTCTCTTACTCATTTTCGACGACGTCAACATCGACTTCATCCTGGACAACATTGGCCACACCCTGTGCGACGTCGGCCATGTTAGCAGTCGATTTTTGAGAGAGGGACATTCCCCGTCCCATGCCACCTACCTTCATTCTTTATCCACCAGAAGAAACGACCAAAAAAAAATTTCATCCTTTTTCGGGCACCAATGGAACATGTTTGCACTCATCGATGTGAGGGAGGAGGCCTTCGTTGGCATCATGTACGTACATTTGGCCACGTATCTGCCAGATCACACTCAATTGAATTTCTCTTTTGTCCTTTTTTGTGAGCTAAGAAGCACCGTTGCGCTGCCAGATAAAACCCCACTTTTGAACCGTGTCTATTCCTCTCAACCACCCCCACTATCTGTCCAAACCACTTCCTCTTGTCTCAATAATATGCCCGCATGCTTGACTGGAGTCAGTTCACCCCGGGCCCCATCAACATTGGCCGATGACCGTAAGACTAGTCCCATCTCACTGTCCCACCCCGTCTAATGCAAACCTTTGAACAGCCCAGGGTGCACCTTCCATGACAGGTGCTTTTTTCCTTTTTCACCTGTTAATTACTCACTCTGATACTTATGTTTTCAACAGTTCTTGAAGATTTATTCAACAACCTCAGCATTCGCGATTGTGAAAGCCGCGTTCTCATCACCAGCGTCATTCGACTTGTCACTCCCGCACACCGTGACAGCCCCAACAACAGACAAGCAACCGCTGTCGAAGATGGCTTTGAAGTCCTCTCCTCCCCCGGTCCTCACGCGGAGGTTGACGACGGTGATGATAATGATGGCGATGCATCTGAGATGGTGACCCCACAGGTCACCAACTCTCCCAGTACTTTACAGTGCCCCACCTATTCCTGCAGGAATGGGGTCATTCTAGTGGAAATCCACTGGAATAGGACTGGAATCAAGCAGAGTAAGTTTTTTTCAACTCCCACCTTTATCCTGATGACTTGGCACTCATATTTCCGTATAAAATTCACATGTAGAAGTCATAGATTGAGTTGTAAGGTATTTGAAATGTATTACTACACACAGTACACAGTTTATCTTAAAGGGAGGGGGGAGGGACAAGNTGGGGATGTATTTGAAATGTATTACCACACACACTACACAGTTTATCTTAAAGGGAGGGGGTAGCCTATCCAAACATGGCCAGAAAATACCCGAAAAATCAGAAAAAATTGGGGGATGGTGGTAATGATGTTGGGTTGTTTTCAGGGTCCAGGGGCTATGTCAAAATATGGTAATCTATCCAAAAATAGCCAGAAAATACCCGAAAAATCAGGAAAAATTGGAGGATGGTGATGATGATGGGCGCATTGCCAAATATGCAAATGTGTGCTTATCTAAAGGAAAAATAGCAATAAAATAGCAGAAAAATAAGAAAAAAATGGGGGATGGTGGTTATGATGGTAGGTTGTTTTCAGGGTCCAGGGGATGTCCAAATATGGTAATCTATCCAAACATGGCCAGAAAATACCCGAAAAATCAGGAAAAATTGGAGGATGGTGATGATGATGTTGGGTTGTTTTCAGGGTCCAGGGTCTATCCAAATATGGTAATCTATTTAAAAATACTCGAAAAATCAGGAAACATTGGGGGATGGTGGTGATGATGTTGGGTTGTTTTCAGGGTTCAGGGTCTATTTCCAAATATGGTAATCTATCCAATGATAGCCAGATAATCACCAAAAAAATCAGAAAAAAATACAAATAGTTCCCACTGTTGATGATGATGTTCAGGTACTTTGTTCAGGGTTCAGGGCAACATCCAAATAAGGAAACTTCTTTGTTTCTGATGAAGAAATAACCAGAATATCAGAAAACATGTAAATGGTGTAAGGGATGTCAGGCACTACTTTCAGGGTCCACTTCAGGGTCCACCCCAAAAGAAAAGCTCACCTTATTTGACCAAAAAGTGAAGAAAAACAAGATAAGAATGATTCTATCTGTCAGGGTCCATCTAATGGGGTGTTGGGATGGTGGTCACATGATCAATTACCAAAAATGGTCAAAAAGAAAAGTTGTAGTCCTATGCTGTAGCTTCCTGAATCTGTTTGAATTATGTTCTGAAGTGCTCCTGTTGTGGAGATATGATGTAAAATATTTTGAAAAGCACTGCATTTTTTTTTTGTTTTTTGTGTTTTTCTCCATGAAAACAAAACCAAACAACATGATTTCAACACATTTAGAAAGCTAAAAGAAAGGGCTACAATTATTGAATTGTGGGAAAAATGACCAAAAAAGGAAGGTGCATGCCTTAATGTAGTGTCCGCTTTTTGGGACTACAAAAGTTTGTAGTTCACTTTAGTTTGTAGTGTCCTTAACTATGTGTAGATTATTGGGGATATGGTTGAAGGATTGACATGATCTCACATATTGCCATTGCTGCAGCATTAGTTTTTGACATGATGCACAAGTTGTCTTTCACATCAGAAAAGGCAATTCTGTGCCTTCCTATTGATACCTACTATCTCAAAATACAGTTATATGTTCTTGGCGATATGGTTGAAGGACTGACATGACTTCACATATTGCTATTGCCATGTCATTTGTTTTGGACATCATGCCCAAGTCTAGCTTTCACATTGATAGCTACTGATCAATCCCAAAACATAGTCAAGTTTTATATGAGTTCTTTGTAGGTTACAGTACTGTATGGACTATCAACATG